TATTACTATTTCCATTTACCGACCCATCAGAATGCTGAAAATCATCATTGGAATCAGATTCAAATGATTCATGGTTATTGTCTGTTGTTTCAGCATCAATAATTAGCAATAAAAGTTCTTTTATTTGCAAAATTGACTACCTACGTGGTCTAGCAACAGCTGACATGCTTGGAGTGGGCGTAGCCATGGCTTTGTTTACAAAAGTTTCAACACAAATTGAACTATTATTAGAAAAAACACATGCAAACATGCCCTACTTCTTAAAAAAAGGAAGTAGTAAGAGTTATCCTTCGTTTAAGAACAAAAAAAGTTGGATTAAGAGCCACAAGAAACGAAATAAACTACATAAATGATATTGACAGTATACTGTGGGTTGGCACAAACGCGACCAGTCAAATCGACAGTATACTGTGGATTGGCACGGAAAGAGTTAATAGGCCTACGCCTAATCAGAAGTAATCATGCTTAATGCATATGTCTGTCTATACTATATTAAAAGACTTGTTCTAGTATCTGGTTGTTTGTTATTGTTGGCAAAAAAAAGTTTCACAGTAAAAGTAAAACACCCAGACTCAGAAGTAAGACATCCAAGAAGAGTAAGATTAATTTTGCCCTGATCCTGGTTAACACAACAGAACTTTTCAGCAGACATGGGAGAATCGCTAATTAAAGAAGTCTATGCTAAATATCTAGTTTTAATGAGTAAGTCATCATAAGATAAGAAGGACTCAATACATAACTTGTGTTAAATTTCAATTTCAGGTAGATAGAGTCAAGTTCAAGTAACTTACTCAATAACAGTAACAGTAACATTAATTTAACTCATTAACAGTCAAGTGACCTAGATTATCTTAAGTTAAATAGAAATTACCCTTGATCGCTTTCTAAAAGAACACCTCGATACTCTTTACCATTGTGCGCGAGGAAGACAGTTATGATGTTATCACATGAATATTCCACAATAACAGTGAGGCGAACACCCTTTGTAATTATTTCCGTTCCTATGTTTGGGTTCGCCATTTTGTTACTTATTCTTTTAGGGTGAAAGTTTACAGAAACGCATGCGCAAAAGATAACTTCCTATAAGCTATAGCTACGGCTAAATGAATCTTAGTTGGAAGATTGAAACTGATTTAAAAATATAATAGTCACAACATTGCGTGCAAACTATGAATCTGACATAATTTTTTATAGCTTATATAATTCTTTTTTCTTAATTTCAAATTCCACCTATGCAAATTATCTATTCATTTTCCAATCGACATATTCATAACAATTTTACTTTGTACGTACAAATAACTAAAAATAATTTTATAAAACTTTATTTACAAATGAGTAAGTTCTGGGAGATGTCCTTAAAGTCACTTATCTCCACATGATCGAGTACCTTTATACTTTATATGATGTTTGGAGTTTTTCCCCCCAATTATTATTATGATTTAAGATAGACAATTCTTAAATAATAAGCCTAATTAATGATCCATTGGTGAGAAGGCAAGTATTATTGTTTTATAGGCCTACCTGCTAGTACTATAACTAGAAGATTTCGGGGACGACAATTAATAAACGAAAGCTTGGCCTTAGCCGGCCTTAAAATCTTAATCATTAATCTTATTACACCTTATTTATTTAACCCTCTGGAGACGGAGCCTTTTCGGGCTGCCAGTGCCATAAAGACGGAGCACTTTTTACGAGCTCAGCACTCGCATTGCAAAAAAATTTATAAAAAAATAAACTATTCCCTTAGACGCCTTAGTCTTAGTAGAGTTTAGAGTCTTAGCCTTATTATCATAATTAAGGGAATAGTTTATTTTTTAATAAATTTTTTTGCAAAACTATATATATATATAAAGTAGGTTCTTTGATTAGAAAAATTAAAACTTTTTGTAAAAATAAACCAATGGCATAGTTGAATAAAGCTAATTTCTAAAAGAATTATAATACCAAAATCATATTATTAGCTGTTGTAGTTTTAAATTTATGAATTTTTAAAGTACGACTTAATTTGTCCTTTTTTAACATGGACCGCATGTCCAGTTTCTGGTACCCGATTTCGCTGTTTGTGTCACGAGCTATATAACTCTTGTTTTAATGATAATTTTATTTTCAGAACTTAATGCTGTATTAAAAAAATAAGTTTAATAATAATAATGTTAACAATTATAGATAAATTGTAGCTTATCTAACTATGCACTATTTATATCAGTAAATTTAATATAATGTTTTAACATATGACTTTTCTGTTTGCCTAATCTTCAGCGTCCATTATACCGGTATACGCTATATAGTCTATATAAGACAACGCACCCCTAAAATGTTGTTTGGGATCTACTTATTTTGAACTTTCAACTTTGGCACATGAATAATTAACTAAAGCTTTCCCTGACCAATGTTGTTAATAGTTTTTGCACACGGCAAACTCTTATGAATGAAACTTGAAGACTTACGTCTTTCTCGCTAGTCAACCGTGGGCCGATAGATCGGCCCTTACGTCTCCAGAGGGTTAAGCCATTTAATATAAAAAATACAGTTCAGTTGGCAGTTGGACTGTACCATCTAAGTCTAAGACAATTTAGTACTACGGCATAGCATTATGCAAATGCCTGTGAATGGTTTCCCGTGACTTTTTGCACACTGTCAATTTTGATCGCTAATAATATGGACTCTACAGGGTTTTTAAAGCTCAAATTTAAAAATTCTAGTTTAAATGTCTTTAAAATGCATTCTGAAACACAAGTTATCAAATATTTTGATGTATATAGAGATAATAATGAATATTTCATAAGCTAAGTATCTGCGTTTTCCGCCATTTAAAAGGGGCGAGATCACTAATCCAAAATGGCCAGTGCGACCTTTGCATAATGAGGTCAACGTTGAGGAGAATTGTGAAAATGTTTCATGAGCTATCTCAATGAAATTTTGCACATGTGTACTTCAACAAATTATGCAGGCCTACTTTTAATATGAAAGACCTACTTTGAATATTTAGACCGAATTTTTTAATGCGAAGATGTCTTATATTGACATACAATTTTCCTTACTTAACGTTGATATAAAGAAAAAATTAACTCAATGGGAATGTAGTTCAACATTTCTCCTAATGTTAATGGGTGGAGTCAGACCTTAATTATGGGCCAAAAGGACTCCTAATTTATTCAAATTACATGCACATGATAAAATTAAAAACTCGGATTCCATTGCGCCGCCGCCCATTTCCAATACAAATTTACTTGGAGTGTCCCTTGCTTCGGCGGAGTACCTAATATAAAGTACTAAAATGGGATGCTTATGCCTTATTTATATGTCTTATGTTGTATAAAAATTCAGAGGGGTCATCTCTAACCATTTGAAGACCCGTAATACTCGTAATACTAAACCAAAAGTTCACAACATTAGCATTACCCTCAATTTGAAACTCTTCATTAATTTCCTGGTTGTTTTCATCAGTTTCAGTGTCAGATTCGCTGCTAGGATATCAAAATCATGAAGCACAGTTTGATCAGAGTCACTGTCAGACATGTTCGAATTTCACAATGTAACTACACACACAAAAAAAAATTCTTACACACTAATATATTGAGTTCACCTTCAATGAACACCGCCATTACAATGCTGGGATGTGCAGGAATACGTAAGAATACTTTTGATTCGCTGGTACAACGCCAAGCCAGCCAATCATGAGGCTCGATTTATCGGGCCGATAGTTCGGACTTACGTCTTTCTCGCTAGTCAACAGTAGGCCGATAGATCGGCCCTTACGTCTCCAGAGGGTTAAGCCATTTAATATAAAAAATACAGTTCAGTTGGCAGTTGGACTGTACCATCTAAGTCTAAGAAAATTTAGTACTAGGGTATTTGTCCAGTTTAGGTGCCCAAATTCACTGCATGTAATGTAATTGACAATTATTTTATGTAATTATAATTAGGCACTTTCTTTAAGCATAAACTACCAGTACCAAAGTGATCACTTATGACCTCTATAGATAGGATTGTCAGCAATCGTAGCCAAGAAATGGCAAATCATGTCATCGTTCTTGAACTTGTTCCGAAAGACAAATTTATGGACGTATGATGGAACAGTCACTGCACCTCTATCTCTTACCTTGGTCATTTGGATGACAAGGCTGTATACTGTATATGTAGCACAGGTGATCATATTAGCGAGTCATGCACATTCATTCAGCTAGCCAAAATATGCATTCTTCTGTATGAGACTTAGATATGTCTGACAACTGTGATGACAGGTTGTACTTTTTATTTGATTGACATGTAAGGCCAGCGATGGGTTCCACTTTATATAGGTCACGGAGGTTACCCCTGGTCAACTTCCATCTACAGCACCTTACTAAAAAGATTTTGATGTTTGTATTCACATGCTGCAAGTTTTTGTTTTCTTTTTGAATTGGGGAAGGGTTCCCCTCCCCGGAGGATTTCTTTGTTTCTTATTTTGGTATTTAAAATAGGGGGGAGAGGTTTGAGGAGGGGCCTCCCCATTCCATAGAAGATCATTCCAAATGCAATTTAAGCAGTAGTCTCCCTTTTATTACCGAAGTTGTAACATACCAGTGTTGCGATTTTCAATTAATCAACCGGTGTTGGGTCTTCGGGTATCAGCAAGGATGTATTTCTATTTTTCTTTCTTCTGAAACGTGTAAGTTGAATTTTAATACAAATTAATGGAAAATTTCATTTTAGTATACTTCATATTAACAGTATTGTGTATGACACGATTAATCCTCAGTAAAGAGCAGGAATGTTATCACATCGTTCGGGTCCTACAATTAATAGGTCTATTTACCCTAAGACCAGGCAATGAATATAATGTCAATTGTATTTCATACTGATTATTTGATTAAAAAAAAAAATGTTTCCAATAATCCGTATGTTATCATTTGAAGTTAAAAATGTTATTGCATTTTGTGTCAAAATGTGTCCCAATATTAGTATATGATAGTATTATTGTCTTTTTTAAATAAGAAGTTTGTTTGTTTTCACCATCTTAAAAATAAATTATTTATCCGTAGAGCTTCAAGCTTGAAAAAAGAAATTATAATTTAATATTTTAAATTTATTGTCTTTTTCAACAGTTTAATAGCAGAACGGTAACCTAGAAAAAGCGCAAAATAAGTTACCAAATTTAGAGGTTTCCATAAAGATGGCTTCCGAAAGATTTCTAACCACACTCCAAAAAACTTATGTCTTAAGTAAGCTTTGGCGATCAACAAGTACTTGTTCATCAGGCACAGTCAATTTTAAAGTGTGTCAACAATCCATTACAAAATATTTTCATTTAAGATATTGCACACTGTTGCAATGCCATTTACAGAGCAGTATTGGTAAAGTAAGATTAGTCCACACTTGTCCCACATTAACAGCTGGACACAGTAAATGGAATAATATTAAGCACATAAAGGCAGCCAATGATAAAGAAAAAGGTCAGAAGAGCATGTTTCTTGCAAGCAGAATACAGGCAGTGTTCAGTAAGTTAATTGCATTTTACTTTTAATTATCAGAGCTAAACTTAAAACATAATCGAAGATTGAAAGTAAGCTTGTACAAACTTTTCATTTAATTTTTATTCAGTTGGCTGAAAAGCGGATCAGTAATAGTAATAAATGTTTAACGTTTTGTAAAAAGTTTTAAAGTCCAACAAGAAGTGCTTTACATAAAGCTCAAGTAGACTTGTTTAGTACCATTTTTTAAAACAAGTAACTTAAGGTATACTAATATTTGCTGATATGAAGTTTTTTTTATTCATTAACAGTTAAGAATCCTGAGAAAGATCCAAAACACAATACAGAATTAGCAAACTTGATAAAATGGGCGAGGACTAACAACATTCCCAATGATGTTATAGATAGAACAATAGATAATCAGGTAAAAAATTTCATTCAATTAAGCTTAGGTTCTTAAAGTTAAAGGGAGAGAAATTACTTTACTGTCATTGGTGTTTCTTCTTTTTCACATATGAAGTATTTTTTAAATTTTGCAGATTAAGTTGCGTGATCCAAAAAATATCACTGTGTTTGATGGCCGTGGCATGTCAAACACCGGAATCATTATTGAATGCTTTTCTCTCAAACCTCATCACACAAAGGGACTTTTGCAAAGCATATTAAAGAAATATGGGTAGGTTTTGAATATCATCAATTTTCATGTTATTTGATCTATTTGTTATAGTTTTTATGTACTGAGGATATAATGGTAAGCATATGATATAGTAGTTGGATGATTATTTAATGATCAAGTGAAAATAGGTTACAGACCTTACTGTCCTTATACAAACAAATACTTAATTTATTTAATTTCTTAAATGTCAGGCGAAATTAAAATAAATAACTGCACAAAAGAGCACATGCATGGATTAATATTGTCAAAAAACTTTTATTGAATGTGAGGCAACTGAAGCAGTCTAGCCCATATAAAACCAATAGACATACAGGTCTGTATACATTATTATTATTAATATTATTTAAGCATTTTGTATAGCGCCTACCTTACAGCTCTAAGCGCTTTACAATTATTAAAAAGATGTAAACTATTTAAACTGCTAAAGTAAAAGAAAAATGAAAAACTAGAGACACTAGAATAGTAACTACAATGTGAAAAATGACTATAAAAACAAGTACACTTTTGCACGTTTTGGCATATACTCTGAAAAAAAACCCCATAAATACAGGATCAACCTGAGACAGAAAATGAGGCAGGGCAAGGAGGGTGCATCACAGGTCATAGGTGGACCTAAACAGATGGGTTTTAAGGGACTTTTTGAAAGTGGACGAGGTTTCACAATAACGGATGTGGAAGGGGAGCTGGTTCCAGAACGTGGGCCCATGGAAGTAGAAGGAGCGTTCACCGATGGTCTTAGTTTTGGTTCTTGGGATTGAGAGGGTTCTATTGTGAATGGAAGAGCGTAGTTGTCTTGTGGGGATGTAAGGAAGCAACAGTTCAGAGAGATAGACAGGAAAGTGAGGGTCAGTGAAAGAGTTGAAGCATAGATTGGCAGACTTGTACTTGATGCGAGAGGATATTGGAAGCCAGTGGAGTTGCCGCATGTGTGGTTGAATGTGGTCGTGTTTCTTTTATTTAAAAACGAGTCTACATGCTGAGTTCTGTGCCTTCTGAAGTTTGTCTATGTGGTGTTGAGGAATGCCTGAGAGAAGAGTGTTACAGCAGTCAAATTTTGAAAGAATGAGTGAAGAGACGAGAGTTTTTGTGGCATCAAAGGAAAGGAGTATCTAGTGCCCTCCACCGGCATCTAGATGTGATTACAGCCATTTCATCATGGTTCTATACCTACTTCAAGCTGTAACAGATTCACATTGGCTGCCAGTTTGATTTGGAACACTAAGATTTCATAAGATACAATTAGGTCTAGAAATTTAAGATGTCTAATAGTAATTTCATTTTATTTCTCACCAAGTAAAGAGGGAAAAAAAGAAAGTGAAACTAAGAGTAAAATAAGATTAAAAAATAAAGAATAAAAATGATACTTCTTTAGGCTGTTTAGTGACCATCCATGTATTATGTAGGTTTTATTATTGTAGTAAAATGAGTGAAAAAAGGCTTTCCTCATAGCCCTCTCTCTGCATTCAATACATTTATCTGGTGTCGCCCATGTGCTAAACTAAAACAGATGAGCAACCCACCCACCTTAATTAAGCTGTTTATGCTTTTTAAGTACATATTTTGAGCAGTTAAAAAACTATAATTGTGTTTGTATAAATGCTATTCCTGATCAGATGGTATATGTAGTTTTTTAAACTTCTATTTCATCCCTAAATGTATAACAAAGTGCCGGTGACAATTGTTGAAACTTAATATCTAAAAAAAAAAATATTAATATATATACGATCATGGGATATAGTAAAGCATCGCATATAGTTGAGCAATAGTGCATCGGATATAGTAGAGCAGGGGTCTCAAAACTACGGGCAGTGTGAGGCCCTCTGATCCGGCCCGTAGAGAGCTTTTTGTCTATGGAAAAAAATTACGGAAATTTACGTGTATCCTGCCAAGATCAGCCACCGCTTACGTGGACGTTATGTTTTTGCTGAATTAAAATAGAGGCGCCCAGTAGCGTTTTCCAACCAGTCACTACATTGCAAAACCTTATTCGCTGCTTAGTTTTTCAAATTCAGTTCACAGTCAATGAGATGATACAACTCCATCTAGTGGCGGAATTTTTAAATGGTTTGCTGCTTGTTCAAGACTTGATTATTTTTATCGCAGTTTGCCAGTTGAGGTTGACTGCTGCAATGAGGAGATGTTGGTGTCAGCGTCTGATTGCGTAATATGTTTCACTCTATTTTATTTAGTGATAATTTCTGTCGTGTAATTACTTATCAGTGTGTTTAAATTATTGGAAATGTCATTAGTTTAGTAAGAATTTTTCTAATATTCTGAAGAGGAAACATTCAAAGCAACAATCTTACTACCATAAGTGAATATATTTGCACACTACATTCAGGTAAGTTTAACATAAGAAATCATAAGAATTCTTAAAAATTGTTTCTTGTCATTTGCAGCTATAATTGCAACTAAGGCCAGTTATAAATTTGCCTAAATCCTGGCTAAAAGTGGCAAACCGTTTACAGATGGTGAAGTAGTAAAGGAATGTTTGTTGGCGGTGGCTGAGGAACTTTGCCCAGAAAAGTCAAAACAATTTGAAAATTTAATATTGGGTGCAAATACCATTGCCCACTGTGCTGCAGACATGGGTGAAAACATTGTGACTCAAATAGCGAAAAATGCAAGCAAGTTTCGCCATTTTTCAGTTGCAAAGGGTGAATCGCTGTTCCACCTCTCAACTGCTTGTGTTCATTAGAGGTGTGAATGAAGACATGAACAAAACACAAGAGCTGGCTTCCCTACATAGCATGTACGACACTGTTACTGGAGAGGATATATTCAAAGAGTTGAAAAAACATTTGCTGATTATAACTTGGACTGGACTAACCTCAGTTGCCTGACTGTTGATGGAGGAAAGAACATGAGTGGCAACAAGAAAGACTTTGTTGGACAAGTGAAGCAGATTGTCATGAGAAAAACAATCTACAACCAATGTTTCTGCACTGCATTATTCACCAGCAAGCTTTGTGTGCTAAATATGTGGACATTGGCAGTGTACTGAAGCCTGTAGTGCAGATGGTGAAGTTAATAAGGTCACATGGGTGCAACCATAGACAGTTCAGAGACCTGTTGAAAGATACAGACACAGAATCGCAATATTTACCATATTACCTAACAGTAAGATGGCTAAGTTGTGAGAAAGTTCTGAGAAGAGTATTTAAGTTAAGAAAGGAAATAGGTGACTTCCTGGGAAGTAAAGGCAAGCCACAGCCATTACTGCCTGATGAAGAGTTGGTATGCAAATTGGCCTTTGTTGCAGACATAACTAGTCATTTAAATTTTCTGAACCTAAAACTACAACGAGAGGAAAATCTAGTTTCTGATCAATACACCCACAGGCCTTCAGATCCTAACTCATAGTGTTTTTGGAACAAGTTGACACACTTTCAGCAGTGCAAGGTCTTCATGGCTGAAGCAACAGTGGAGTCCCCGTCATATACAAGATCATCAAAGACCTCCAACTGCAGTTTCAGCAGCAATTTTCTGTTTTGGATTCAAAGGCAGAAGAAGTCAGACTGTTTCAAAACCCATTTGAAGATGAAGCAGATGTGGCCAGTTTCCCAGATGAACTGCAGCTAAAGGTCACTGAGTTGCAAGCAAATGACCTCCTTAAGGACAAGTTCAAAGGACTAGTGGGTTTTTACCACTTTTTGCCCAAGGAAGACTTTCGTAAAGTCAAAGCTTTTGCATCAAGGTACCTTTCAATCTTAGGGACAACATACCTGCGTGAAGAAGCATTTTTAAAAATGAAATGTGTGAAGAACAATTTGATAACAAACTTGTCCGATGATAATCTCAGGTCAATGTTGTTGTTGGGGTCATCAAATCTAAGACAGATATGTCTGCTATTTTCGCATCCAGGAAAAAATTACACCATTTCCAATAATACAGGTGTTCATGTGTAGTGTATCAAAGTGTGATTAAATAATTACTGAATAAAATAATATTAAATAAATAATTAAAAACGATATCCATGTTTTTATTCTTTTTTTATTTGGACCTCGCTTGTGTAGTCGGCCCGTGAACTGCTGTGTGATAGTTAATGCGGCCCTCTGGCTGAAAAGTTTGGAGAGCCCTGTAGTAGAGCATCAGCTTTCCAAACTAATTCAACAGTTGGGACGAAGGGTGATTCAGCTAACCAAGGAATATTTGTGTTGAATGTAGGGTACAGAATACAATATAACATAGTGTTATGTAAAGTTATCATCAATTTTCTGTTGTTTCAAATTTGATTTACTTGGATTGTGGGTCCAGGGTTAGAAATGTTTTCCAGCGTTTGTATGCCAGTGCTCTATGCAATACAAATTGCCCAGCATAACAATACATTTTAAAAAGACAGGGGCAGTTTGGGTAACTTGTATTTGCATAATTGGACACTAGTGTAGGTCTATTCCAGTTTTATGAAGAGAACAACACATTTGGTCTAAAATTTTGATCTGTTTTTTTAAAAATAATTTGGCATCAATGCATTTGATACAACTGTCTTGTTTATGTACAGATTTTCCAGACCCATCTAAATACGCACACTTATACAAATGGCTATTCTGCCTTAGCCCCTTTCCCTCCACAGTGCATTATGTAACATAATTATTAACCTTTTACTGCATATTATGCATAATACATAATTTTTGTCAAAGTGTCTTGACAGTCAGTTTTTTTATTTTTTGGACTAACCATTTGCATAAACAGTTAGTATTGCAAATATTTGTAGTGTTAAGAAAAGCCTCTAGATTATAACATTTCAAGGTATATACAATTGGTTAATCGTATGGTTTGTTTCATTCTTCAGATTTAGCTTGCATTCACCTGCTATGGATTTGTTTGAACACAAGGGTGTAGTGGAAGCAAAACTACAAGATGCAGATGTCAAGTCTGCTCAGTCTGACCCCAAGTCATTTGTCATTGATAAATATGTTGATCTAGCAATTGAGGCAGAAGCAGAGGAGGTTACCTTAGAAAAGGATGAGGATGGGCCATATTTAAAGGTAGCATTCAAATTATTTTAATTTCATCAGTATTCAAATTGTTAACTCCAAGAGGATATTTTCATGCAGTTTTCTTTTAAAACTTATAAAATGGATGAAAAAATAGTTCTGCAAGTTAACTTATTCTGTGGTGGTTCTTACCTGCCTTAATAAATTATATGTGGGGACTTAATTCATATTGATTTAAACAAATTATGGTTTAAGAATGGTCCTTTGAAATGAATAACACATGTTGGCTTTCGGGAACTGTAGATTTTGGGGCCAACATAGGCTAATTCTCTATGGTAGTCTGGCTTTTGCCAGTCTACTCAGTGGGCAGACAATGGTAGTCTTACTTGTCCCAATCTACTCAGTACGCAGATTAAATTTAATGAGTTCAAGCTTTGTATCTTTTTTAGGCTAGTTTCAGCACCAAGATGAGTTTTATTAACACCCTCCTCTCAATCTTTAGTGATATAACTTGGCTAATTCTTGACAATCTCCAGCTCGTCATATTAATTATACTAATTGCCTTATTAAAAAAAATAGTTGTAAATTATTCTCAAATAAAGAGTATATCTTTCATTTTATTTTGCATACAAATACAATTATTGTAAGTTAAATAACTTAACTGAATGAAATGTTTTTCAGTTTTTATGTGCACCACAAGATGTTGATAAAGTCCACGGTAACCTGGAAAAACTGGGAGTTCAAGTTTTAAATAGTGAGAGAACATATCTTCCCAAGATAGTCATCCCTGTATCGCAAGAATTTTTAGAGAGCTTAGATAAGCTAATAGAGAAGCTAGATATTCATCCAGATGTTATAAATTATCATTTCAATGTTGAACCAGAAAAGTAAAAGATACAAATGCAATTGTATGTGCAAGTTCATAAAAGAAAAGTTTAATGTGAATATTGCCTTCTTCTTAAACATGTTTTAGGTTGTTTATGTTATTGGTAATATGGTAATTGTCAAATTTTTATGAAACACGAAAACTAACTGAGCCCTTTTCAAAAGTTCCTATGTGGTTGGTTCAGAAAGTATAAAGAACTTTAGTGATAATAAGTTTTAAGCCTTGACATTTTGAGATAAGACATTATGTAAAGAAAATGTAAGTTTTCCAGTATTTTCAAAAGTGAGATGGATAAATTAAAACTTAGGAAACCCTGAATTAATTATGTTAAGTTTTATTTATTTGTATATATCTAAATTTATATATATATATATATCTCTCTCTCTCTCTCTCTCTCTCTATATATATATATATATATATATATATATATATATATATATATATATATATCTGTGTCATTGTATCTACTTTGATGTAAATGACTTTAGATTTGTTCCCCATCCCATGGGGGTCAGCAGTAACAAATACAATTATTACAATTCATATATGAAAATATTTTTATTTCAGCCACTTTTAGTTTTTAGTGATGTGACCTAGGGCAAAAATGATGTTTGAATAATATCCATTAAACATGGCTAAATCATCTTTAATGACCAAATAATGAAACAAAAAGGTGTTACAGTTACAACAGTGAAACTGCTATTTGTTTCAAAATTTATTTCAGGATTTCTAACTTAGTACAGAGGAGCTGTTAAAATTAAAATGATTCACTGTATATTTTATGTCCCTAGAGTTACAAAGTCTTCACATTAATTCTATGAAATCACCCATTTCTTTTTTGTCGTTAAAAAGTTGCTAGCATTATCTTATAGGAAACAGTTTTTTTGCTTCTTCACTCTGATACTGCAGAACACCTGATGGTATCCCTTTGGCCTATGGCATCTCTGTATCTTGTCTTACGAATTAATGTCAAAAATTAATAATGAGGAGACGGAAATAAAGTAATAAAAACAATTTAATTTATTTGTTTTTCTTTTAATATCCTTATCAAGTTACTTAAATATGGTTTTGAGTTTGAAAAAAAAAATTTTTGTGACATTTTTGCATCTTTTGATACATTTGGGGCTGGTTTAAGAAACTCAATCTCTATTTAAATTTAGGATCGTCTATCGCTCCTGGCATTTAACTGGATAACACTTGTAGTGCATTCTCTTTTGAAATCCTTCAAATCAGTTGAACAGTTTACAATGTTAAATATGCCTGGAATCAGAATACAAGTTTTGGCTAAAAATAAGTAGCGGATAAACTAGAGGAAAGCCTATTGCAATGTTGTTTTTTTTAAAACACAGAGATATCTCATCGATGGGTGAAGGACATTGATCAGCCTAGCAAAGTGTAAGCTAAAATAACTTAAACCTATTTATAAATTCACTTAGCGAAGTAAAAATTGGATGCTATAAAGTTTAAGTTTTACTGACTCTTTTCGGGGTTACTTTTCTATAATTATTTAATTAAGCTTTTTCTTCTTCTTCTATAAATTAAGGGCCAACAATCAAAGTCTTGATCATTCTGGCTCCTGTAGGCCCGAAGAAATTGTTCCACATAGTCCTGTCAAGAAATAACACACTACCACACGATTGAGTTTGTTTTGAGTGAAAATGAAAAAGTTCAGCTTCTAAACAGTCCAAGAAACTTTCAGGTCCAAAAATATCCAACTATCCAGGAATTCAATTTGAAGAAAACATTTAAAAAACGAGAAAATGTGAGAGAAATTTCGCTGCTGCCTGTTATTTGGATACTACAAAGTGCTAAGTGCAGAAAACAAGAATGGAGAAGGATAATTTTCATGTCATCTGTAGCGCCCCAATGGTCCAAGGACTAAGGGACATGAAGGGGAAAAATTATTTCATCCAGACTTATGGCTACCAGTTAAATTTAATATGACGTTAATTGCGATTAATAATATTATATCAGGATAAGCCTAACTATAATTAAAATATAATAATTTGTTGTTTATTATTATTATATTACAGGATAAAAGCACAATTAGAATGTGAAAGCTGCTATACCTTTGACTCCTATTACTTGATATAACTAATCATGCTGACCCAGTAACATCATCGCCTCTCATTCTCATAGACAAGGATCAAAAGCAAAACCTATTAATATTCAGTCTTTCTGCACAAATAGACCAAAGCGCTCACCACTGAAATCATTCGGACAAGGAAATGTCTAAATAGCCATTAGAGTTTCAATTCTTCCAAAGGCACTGCAGATTGTTTCAAGGCCATGTTTCCTAGTTGTGAAATAGCACAACAGTTTATAGCGCAACAGTTTGCATGTTCTGATAGTATAGGATATATCTCAGCATTTTTGGTATAGCACCCTACTTAGCTGATAGGAAGTCTGCATATTTCAGCAATTTTGGTATAGTACCCTACTTAGCTGATATGCCTTAAAAAAAAGATTAGAGCAGCTTCTAATTATGTTTGATGAAACTATAAGTGACCTTGGACACAGGAGCTTTTTACAACTGTCTATGGATGGCCCTGCAGTCAACTGGAAGGTATTTCAGGAAACTGAACGATCTGGCCCATTTAAGGTGTTCAACATAAGGAGTTGTGGGTTACACATTTTACACAATGCTTTCTGTAAATGTAAAGGGTGTACTGCAGCCTCTGGGGGACATTGAAAATGTGATTGTCAGTAAGAATAACCTATTATTTATGACAGTCCTGTTGGAAGTGAGAAGATTTTACAACCATCACAGATACTGCTGTATTTCCACCAAAGTTTTGCAAGCACAGGTAATATCTAAAAATGTATGATTTGTAAAGCTGTTGTGATACGTTCCACTTACTTTTAGTACCAGATATGGAAAACAGATTTTTTTAAACCAATTCCTATTACTGATACTACTAGTCTACTAATATATTTAATCTTTAATCTTGACATTCTAATTCTAACAAAGTTTTTATAAATAAATTAATTACAGGTGGCATGAAAATATTGAGCCTGCTGAAAGAGGCATCCTGATGATACCCAATCTGGAAATCTATATAAAGGCTGTTAAAATTAAAAATAAAAACCTTCCCAACCCCTCTTGCCAATTCTTTAGGGATGTTTGCTGCGCTTTAGCCGATCCTCTCTTGCAAAGCTGCAATTGTTTTTAGCGGTTGCTCAAGAGTTACAACCATTTCTTAATTTATACCTAACAACTAAAAGACTTCCCTATACTGCCCATTTTTGGCAACAGACCTTGGAAGCTTGATTCAGCCTCTTCTTATGTCAAAGTTTATCAAACAAGAGGTAATTATAATTATTAATATTGTCAGCAAAATCTTTCACAGTTATATCAAGCCAGATTTTTAAAAGAAAAAATTTACCCACTGGTGAGAAATATATCCTGGCTGGACCCAAAGCTCATGGTAGCTGCAAAAGACAAGCTGAACAGAAAAGCTTAATTGAAGAGTTTAATATATAAATCAAGCTGAACACATTTTTTTTAAAAGCTACTGTATACAACTGGGCAGCCAGGACATTGTAAATATATGGTCTGTGACGTTTTCTTAATAGTCTGTGCCTGAAGATTCATCATGATAACTATATTGCTATGTTATATTACTATGTTTTTGTGCCTGAAGATTCATCATGATTATTATGTTTCTGTGCTTATGATTACAATATTTCTGTGTCTGATATGCATCATGATTACTTTTCTCTTACTGATGATTCATCATGATTCCTATGTTTCAGCTATTATAAATATTAATTAAAGCAACAAGTTACTTTTGAACACTTAACTGAATCAAATTTATGTAACTATAAAATTGTACTGTGCATAATTTTGTGTGTACTTACACAAACTAAAGCATATCTATACAAGGATAAGCTGGCTATTACTATTATTTATATGTTGTATTGTTTAAACTTAAGTCTATTTAGTTTATTTTGTTTACCGGTATTCTATAATTAGGCGAGTTCATTTTTTTCTGTATAGAATATGATAGTAAATAGGTCTTTGAATTTTAAAAATAGGTCTTTGAATGTTTTGAAAAAGATTTTGAATTCTGGATCTTTCTGTCTGTATAAACCCTGCAATCAAAACTTTCTCACAGTACCAGCATAATCCTTGGCTGCAATCATGGATGTCAAATTTTGCAGAATATTACTAATAGGAAGCTCTGTCATCCCTAAATCACATCAACCAGACAGATTTAACTTTTTCCCCATTTTTTCCCCCTACTCTCTCCTGGCATACCGCTAGTTTGTTGTGTTAGTTATTAGCAAATTTGTCCTGGGTCAGTAGTGTCTATGTAAGGGTGTCTATGTAAGGACTTTCTCGATCACTAAAAAAACAGTGGATAGATGAGATCCAGCAAATTGAGGATTGCAATGTGGTCCACACAATGACTGGGAAATAGTATGTTAGGGTCCAAGTTTCACTGGCATATGTTACAACTGGTCTGATTACAGTTTTATAAATAATTTTCTTTGTTTCTCTTGTAATGTTTTTACTTTTGAGTATTTTCTGACTACTAAAGTATGCCCTGTTTCCGGCTGGTATTCTTTCTTTTATTTCTGTTAGTAATTCCTTTCTTTCATTTAATAAAGATCCTAGGTATATGAATTGATTTACTTTGATACTTTTAATGGCTTCATCTGTCTGTTCTTCTCTTATCATAGTCATGTATTTTGTTTTTTTGGTTGTTAATTTCCAGCCCTGCTTGTGGTGATGCGTCTTCAATTTCAATAAAGGATTTTGATATGTCTTTAATAATTTTCCCTAGCAGTCTATGTCATCAGCATATGTAAGATACTGAAGGGGATGATTGTAGAAAGTGCCCATTGGTTGTGGGTCTTGGGTGTCCCTCAGAAAGTATCCTGTTATTGTTCTTAGGGTGTCAATGTGTATGTTTCTTTTAACTCTCTCTAATTTTAGGTTAAAAAGCATACAAGACAATGAGTCTCCCTGTCTAAGGCCTCGTCTAACCTGAAATTCCCTTGGATATTGTCCTTGAACCTGATTTTGCTTTTTGAGTTGTTCAATGTTATATGGTATATCAGTCTTGTCAGTTTGTTGCGTATGCCAAATTCACGCAGAGTCTTGTATAGATATTTTCTTTTGATGCTGTCATAGGCCATTTTAAAGTTCACACAGAGTTGATGTATGGTACTGGGATATTATATTCATAACATTTTCTAATTGACATCTGATGATGAAAATCTGATCAATCGATCTGTTTTGCCTGAATTCACATTAGTAATCACCTAGTATTTCTTCAGTGTACGGTTGTAGTCTTTTGACAGTTAGATTCGTCAGTATTTTGGAGCCTTTCTTGTTTTTTATTGGGTTATTAATGCTGTTTCCCATTTGTTCCTGTTTTCCAGTTTTTTCCCATTCCCTCTTTTTCTTCCCACACATTTTTTTGGTTTTCTATCTAGCTTCCTTGTATGATGTTGTCTTTCTGGTTTCCCTTTGTATCATGATCATTTGTGCTTTGTTCCTTTCTTCGACAGTCTCTCTGCATTCATTATCAAACCAGCCTACTCTATTGTTAGTTCGCAATAAACAAAAAGGTTATGTGATTTCCAAATTTGCTAAAATCTCCTGTACAATATCTTTAGGGAACAGAGATTTCTGTCTCTGCATCATTGTTACTGCTACTCAATCTCCCCAACAATACAATTAATTATTTCTGATTTTTATTATGTTTGTTAAATTGTATGTACAGCGTGGTGAGCCCAGCCCTAGGCTGGGGTACCACGCTATATAAAACCACATATAATAATAAAAAAAAAATAATAGGCAGCAGAGGATTTTTGCAGAGGATTTTTCCTCTGCATCACTACTCCTCAATAACCCCCATCAAAATCTCTAAGCATCAATGGTTTCTTTCTCTGCATCACTCAAGTAAATCTTCCCATCAATCTTGTATATGCTGTGAGACATTTTACTGTCTTAAAGTTACCGTTACCCATCTTGAGCTAATAACCACTTAGTTGTTCAATCCAGCCAGTTTTGGATAGCCACCTGCAAGGTCATACAGTATAGACATGAGAGTTCACTAGCACTTTCATTTTCATGTATTCTAATTAGAATCAATTAGTGTAGATGACACATGATTTAAGTAAATTTGAACAAAAAAGGCATGTTAATGTCAGAGTAATATAAAGGCATGTTATTTGATTTGAGAGTAATAATTTAATTCACCGAGTAGTTTCTGGTGCAAGAGTAAAATATTAATATAATTATAATAAATATATAGAACTATTAAAAACATAGATCAATTTAATCAATTAATAACACTCATTGAGGTTGCATCATTCATTATGTTCCAACTCTGTTTTGAAATTTATAGGTTAATAAATCATATATTATAGTAGAAATTTATAAGATTTCATATACACTATTTCCTACATTTCAATATGCTTGCCAACTGTATAGAAAACACATGCCATAATTATACCTTCTCAATCTGTAAAGAGTTTTGTATTAATGCAAATTTGTTTTAAACATAAACATATTTAGTGTACATGTTTTATGATGTATTGTAAAGTGTTAAATTTTCAAAGCTCGGTTAGTTCCTAGCAATGCCAAGTATTCTTTTTTTAAGAAAAGAAAACAAAACATTTGATCTTCACTATAAATTTAATAAAAGTAGAAAAAATCTAAAGTGACCCAAAGGCCACTAAGCCACAAGTTCTAAAATTGTGTAAAAGTTACATCTGAAAATAGTCTTATTTGTGATAAGTAGTTCCAATCTGTGAAAGTCTTCTTCCCATCTGCGTACAAAGAATGTATGGTCACTAATGCTTCACAAACTGGTACCAACATTTAAAAATATGCTAAAATACTATTAAAATTACTTCATTGGGAAAACTGAAAATATGTCAGAATTATTTATGTTAATTTCACTGGCTCTAAATTCTAGTATGGTACTAGTCCATCATCACCAGAGTCAAAATATAAATAAAATACACATCACAATATGAGCCTTTCATGTTAAATTACATGGCATAATTAATGAATTGCTGTACATATCAGTACCGGTATCACAGTATGTAAAAAACACCAACACTTTTTATATAATTAAAACAGCAGATAAATGCCAGCTATGAGTATAATGTCAGCTAAGATCATTTTTCCTGTTGAAATATCTTTAAAAAAAGCAAAAAGCAAAAGGTGAATGAGTACCGGTGCAAATACAGTGACAGGAAGTTTTCATGAGCGGAGTAGGTCATTCCCATAACTCCAGACTCCAACGCCTCAGAAGGCTGATTGTCTCACAATCACAAAGATATACAGTTAGAATTAAATAGACATTTGAAATTAATATTTTCGTGATTATAAATTATATGTAGATCTTAAAGAAAAATTTTGATTAAAAAAAACCCCAGAAAATTGATTTGATACTAATACTACAAAAAGTATTGTTTTTCGGCAGGTGACAAAGACTAGTAAAAAGTTTTCGTGATTGTGGCTGCAAACTGCAAAGGAAGCCAGTGTGGCGCATTTGACCCGAAACAGACATAAGGGCAAACTGTGTGACAAGTTTTTAAGCTAGAAAATTTTCAGTCTGAACTTACACACAAAATTTAAATATGGTATAACAAAATATGCAACTATTTTGAAGCACGCTGTAATTTTTTAATATAATTATGCTAATACTTTTACACTGACACATCCAGTAAATTTATAGTGTATAAAAATCTTTATGAAAAAAAATTGAATCACATTCATTCTGCTTTTACAAATACATTACACCATCTGGACAAATAATAAATAGAAAAGAAATACTGTAGTTGTATAAAAGAACCATCAACACCGAGGTACAGGGTAATTAACTTATTTTTGTTTATAATGTTCTGTGCTACTTTAATTAAAGGAGACAGAATAAAATATAAACTTGATAATGTGTAAACATTCTTAATCCTAGTAGTTAATCCAACTCATTTAAAGCTATACTCTAGACCAGGCCTGTACAGCTCAAAATGTAAAGCGGGCCGTAATACTTTATGAAAAGCTTGTACGGGCCGAAAGAAAATAGGACGGAGGGAAAGCTATTAAGAAAATAATAATAAAAAATAAAATTTCGTTATTTCCTGGGCTACAAAGTGGGTGCTCATGCGGCGAGCGGGCCATATGTTGTGCAGGCCTGTTCTAGACTAAAAAATCTTTAATCATGATGAAAGTTTATTACACTGCAACTGGTCTTTACTAATATTTTTGTACACAAATGAATTAATCTTTGGACCAGGGCATATTTTTGTCCAAAAAAAGGTGCATGTAGACAGTCTATTTTAAAATATTTCTTGTAGAAATAATATATACAGTGTGATCATCTGCCTGGCATCTTAAATTCAATAAATTGAAGATCTTTTTTGCAAATTTTTTTGGACATTACAAGCTTAGATTAACAATAAGTAATATTAATCAAGTACGCACTTACACTAGTCACTCTTAAAATATTTTTATAAACTTATTGTTCTTTTATTTCATTTCTGCAGTAAATAAATCAAAATGATCTGGTGATCAAAAGTGGTGGTAATGAGGCCACAGCAGTTGGCACACATTTCTTGTAACAAAGCTAGCGATTTTGTTATGTTTTGTTTTAGAGACTTACATAGCGTTAGGGAGTTTTAAAATAATTTCATAAACATATTGAGCTCCTTTATTCTTTGGTCACTAACAATGTACAGGTATAAATATACACAGACTCTTTATTAGTTGCCCATGATAGCAATGACTGCCTTATTGTTAGACATCACTCTTCTTATACCCACTGTGTGCTGGTGGTGCAGATTTGGTCAACCATTGATGGTCTTGTATTTCCAAGGGAGTGGGGCGCATCACAGGGTTCCAATCCAGCATCTGCAGATCAAATAAGACATTACTTTTTTACGATAGTAAATACTAAATGTTCATGATGATTTTGGAATATATATATAATGGTACCCAGTATTTTTTTTTCACAAAACAAAAAATGTTTATTTGTTGGTACATGTATTTTTATTTTTTTAAAACTACCGTTAACTTAGCTGCTGTCTCAGATTTCATGATTTTATATCACACTCTCAGTGAGACCTAAAGTAACGTACACTCATGAACTTTACTTCACTATAAATTCCCTATGCAGATAAAACTTGTTTCACTTCACTTTATTTTATTGCAGTCTGATGTTATTATATTATAAGGAGAAAATTAATTTAAATTTTGAAGCTGAAATTTACAACAAATCCAATTGAAAATAATTATCTATCTATATGCACAGTTAATTAAGTGGAATGTTGCAAAGTACCACATTATGCATTATGATGATTGTAATTCTATAATTGTATGTTATATTTTCAAACCCGTCTGTCTGCCCTCATCATACAACATCACAAATAACTGCACCACCTTGTCCCCATGCTAACATAATTGATAGCTACTTACACACTCACACAAATGTACAATAAAATGATTTAACCACAAAATGAATTATAAAAAAAAAGTTAAAAAAAAAAAAGACTTGCCATCAAAGATCAAATATGTGTTAAAATGCAATTGAAAGTAGAAAATTATTTTAAATTTCTTAAAATGCGTTGCGCAAAGAAGGACTGTGCAGAAGTGAAGATAAGCACTGTATGTAGCCAAAGGATTTGAATTGCATGTAAATGAAACTTAAATATGTATTATTTTTATTAATTTTTGAAAATATTTTCTGCAAACTTTATCTAGGCATTTTAAGAAATTTTAAGTTTTTGAAAATATTTTATTTTCTAATTTTTAGTTCCGGGTACCCGATATTAAAATTGTAATTGTTTAAATTACTGAAAAAAGTAGAATTATTAACTCTTTCGAATATTGAATGCTTACAAAATCCCAGTTAAGGTGACTTAACTCTTTACCAAGGCATAAAAAACTAAAAAGTAGATCTGAGCTCACCCACCCACCTTCAAACAAAGCAAACGCGGTCAACCATGATAATATGAGCGACAGTGTAAAACCGCCCCTATTGACCCAGTATTCTTTTCCAGCCGTTCACCAGGTGAACACTGCAAGAGCAAGACTCAATCTTAAAATGTCACATGTACCGGGCATAAACAAAAAACTGCGCTCCACAAGATGGAAGTGCAAGTAGGAAAAAAGCCTTCAATAAAGTAGTTTAAACCCCTATCAAGCTGGCTTCGATCATCAGTTTGTGTACTTGTACAAAGGAAAAAGGGAACTGCCAGTACATCACTTACAATATGTTTGGTACATTATTTAAAATGTCATTTATTTAATTCAATAAACATAAAATTGCTGCACCTTATTGTCACTTTGAACTTTTAGTGTAAATCTATTGAAATGTGGTTAATTTAGTGAATTGAAATAACTTAAAATTACCAGTTTAACCAGGTCTTTAAAAAGGTCATCTCCCACAATTATAGAATTCAGTGATTTACTGGCAGGTGGGCCCCTGTTTTTCTTCCGCTTGCCACTTCGTGTTTTTGGCCTGCTTTTACTCATTAAAGAGGCAGGAATTTCCCCAAGCACCTCTTCAATGGCTGAAAGTTGGTCATCCTCATCAGCACCCTTTATTTTATTTGGAGAAAATTTAAAAGATTTTTAAAAAATTTTCAATGTCAATAAACAAATAATTTTCCGAGTACCGGTACCGGGTATTATAGTTTTAAGTTATACTAAAATATTAGTAGGCCTATTACTAATCAATTAAAATATTAATATAAGATGGCATTACAAAAAATTTACATTAGATGTATTCAAAAATATAGATATTAGTATTAGAAATTAATATAAGCTAAGATTTAAAAAAAATACTGGGATTTGGTAATATTATAGGACAGTTAAAAGGTTGTTTTTTTCTTAAGGCAGAATACACGTATCAAGTCACAAGTAATTTGATCAAATACAAATAATAGGTCTTTGATGAACACATATTTACGCACTGGGGAGGGGAGTTGTCAATTTTGTGTCCGATTTAATTTGCCTTTTTTTTGGGCGGGGGGGGGTTGCTCATTGGAAATGTAGAAACTTTGACAGTCCATAAATATATATATATATATATATATATATATATATTTCTTTTATAGAAAATATACATGTATTTAAATTATTGGCATCCCCTGGACACTTTTCTAATTAGTTGAAAGGACAGCCTATTCAGAATTCACCCCCATCTACTTAAAACCTACTGACCGCCACAGCTATTTACTCTTCTTCACACCTTAAATCCTGAAAAGACTCTAATCCCTTTTCTGAACTACTTTGCCTTCATTGACCTTGCCAGTCGGAGGATGACTTTTAGGGCAAGGCGGTTGAGATGACTGGCTATTTCCGATGAAGGTCCTACCCGGAGACAGTACTTTCATCAGCCATTCAAAAGGTTTAATATAAAGATGCCCTCAGTTCTTGTCCGAGTGACAACGACAGGACCAAACTTATTCTCACATATCACCTTGACAATATCATAGCTAAACAAATTTTCTTTAAAATCATGCCATTCTCGTCACCTCATCCACAAAAGAAAGTTTTCTCTTCGCCGTCTCTCATTGTTTTCAGAAGATATAAAAATCTACGAGATCTCTTTGTGCGTAATCGCATTCGCACGGCCCCTTCTCACTACTTTGGGACCAAGCCATGTGGACACAGTCGTTGAAAAACTTGCCCTTTTGTTTCCAGACTAAACACATTCACTTCCTTAAAGGAAGTTTTCAGATCAGGAATGGTTTCCTTTCTACTAGCCATTATTTTGTCTACGCCATTTTTTTGTACCCACTGCCAGATGGCGTACCCAGGGGAGACTCTACCCCATCTCTCAGATGTACTGAACACCTTCGTAACATTGAGCAAAATAAGCAGTGTCCCATCTTTAAAAAATCCCCAAGAGCTCAAGGGATTTTGCGATCGCCGCCATTGTGTCGTGTACAAACACGCCAAACCGGGCTTACTTGGAAAACATATTGATTCAGAGTTATGGAACCTCGATACCACATGTCCAAAAATGTCTTGTTTTAATTCACTTGTCAAACTTTTTGTCGGCCCCCCCCCCTCTTGTTACGACCAATCGCAGTGGACTTAATTTTCATCTCTCATTTTGTTGTTGTTACCTGTATTAACTTTATCACCTAATTTTATTATGTCACATTCTTTTCGGTGTCGTCTCGGAAATTATAGTGCAGCTACGTGTTGATTTTTTATTTTATATTATTTTACTATTGTTTATTCGCCGAAGAACGCTTCTTGCCGACATGTTCATTGCTTAGATGCGATCTTTTTTCTTTACTTTATTTCGCTCATTTCTAAAAATATCAGGATCACATCTGGACAAGTCCAGAGTTATGCATATGCAAACAACATCATAAGGTCTGCAAACTTAATTAATTGTGAGCATTCAATCTTCATGTTCTTATATCATAATTTTCTCGAACATAAATATTTAAATTTTAATATAGCCTAACCCCACTCTTTTAAACTGATTGGAGCCCCCTTGCCTCATATCCTTTGGGGGGCTACCCATTTATTCTATAAAGCAAAATCCCGATACTTTTAAGTACAGTCCCAATACTAAAAACTTATATATTTATTTTTTCTGACCACAAAGATGGGAAGTCCAGTAGACAGTTCTCCCAGAACACAGCCGAGACTCCACATGTCAATGGCTGGACCATAACGCATACCAAGCATCACTTCTGGGGCTCGATAATAGCGAGACTGAATGTAATGGTAAATTTGCTGCTGCTCATAACAACTGGAACCAAAGTCACCAACCTTAGGGGGGAAATGTTGACGTCATTCATTTTAATTTTAAAAATTATTTTATCTTATTTTACAATTACTTGTAACTTGTAATAGCAATAATAAACTATGCCAACAGGAAGGAAAAAAAACAGTAGAGAAATTATAACACTAATATTACGGTATTAGTTATCGTTTCTTAATTTTTTTCCACTTATCCAAGCTAAAATTAGTAAAATACCTTAGTCGGTACCCCATAATTACCCACTCAAATTCAAATAGTGTTGGTGTAGCTGGTTGTAGTTGTAGCACGCCTCTAAGCCCACACAATTTAGGCATTGTTCTTTTGTTACCGGGTACTTAAAACTTTTCCTAGCTCATGTAGTCGCACTGGTGTCAAGTCTAGTCATAACTTTCTCCGTGTTATGGTGTAGTACAGTACCGGTAGTATGTTTATGAAAAAGCACATTCACAGCTCATTGCATTTTTTTTGCTATTGAGGCTCGTTAATTTGTTGCTACGTTCGTATTTTAAGACAGTTAACGTAGTTACTAATTATGAGGCAAATATATAATCGCACAGAATAAAAAAGAAGACTAGATCAAAATTATTAGTGAGCATTTCTCGTAGAGAAAACGGGCGCACTATCCAAAAGTTGTCTACCTTCACTGACGTGAAATCTCCATTCTTCTTGAGCATTATGTTCTCGGGTTTGAGGTCACAGTGTATGATCCTGTTCTTGAAAAGCAGCTCCAGACATTTCAGAACACACCTGGTGATGGGGAGAATTCTGGACATGCCCAAGCCTCGATAGTTGTTACGTTTCAGGACTTGGTACAGGTTCATGCCAAGCAGCTCGAAGGAGATGACCATATGATTACGGAACCTGTGCGGAATTTAGTTTTAATATATTATTTTATTGAACTCCATCCGACGAGCATGGGAATGGGAATTCACTAATAGTTGTTACTCAATGGATATTGTGTTTACTGTGCGCTGTATGCTTTTTACGAGATTTATTAGTTAATGAAGGCATTCCCGCGTTTTACGTGGTGACGTATTTTGTGGTAATTATGACGTATTATCTTATCTGCTTTGTGACGTACCTACTAATTCGTCAGCAGTCATAGAAAGAACTTTGTCGGAGAAGGTAATGAATTATTCTCTCTGATAGCGATCTGCGCTATAGCCTGCATGTGTTGATGAAATGTACTGTTTGTTGGATATATTTATGGATTAAAGTTGCATTAATTATAGAAAAGGACTTGTGTATAACGACCCATGTTTCGTTTTCAGAAATAAACACCAGGAAGCATTATATTACCAATTAAAATTATCAGCTTTAATAAGCGCATGTGTGAAAACATGTCTGTTTGGATGACGAGCATATAAATCTTGAAAACGATAGCTTTGTAGCCAGTGGATTCGCAAGTGGGTTCTGGCCACAGACATTCACACACCGACCAGCTGTCTGATATGATCTGATATGTGACAGCAAACTTTACCTATCACATACCGACCAGATGTCATGTCTGATATGATCTAATATTTGAAAAGTATGTGAAAAGTTGAAGTGAAAGAAGTGTTTTTAAGATTTTTCCTTTTGGAAAAAAATTGTGGAAAAAGTCAATCTGATAACCTTAGATCTGACATTCTTAAAAAAAATCAGGACATACTGATGTGCCAAGCTCAAGATTATGATAATGATGTCACAATGACTGGGATTCATGGACATGTACAAGCCCTACTTCTAAGAGAGGTTACGATAATGATGTCAAAATGACTGGGATTCATGGAAGTGTAAAGGCCCTACTGCTAAGAAAGGTTACAATAATGATGTCAAAATGACTGGGATTCATGGAAGTGTAAAGGCCCTACTGCTAAGAAAGGTTACGATAATGATGTCACAATGACTGGAATTCATGGACATGTACAAGCCCTACTGCTAAGAAAGGTTACGATAATGATGTCACAATGACTGGGATTCATGGAAGTGTAAAGGCCCTACTGCTAAGAAAGGTTACGGTAATGATGTCAAAATGACTGGGATTCATGGACATGTACAAGCCTTACTGCTAAGAAAGGTTACGATAATGATGTCATAATGACTGGGATTCATGGAAGTGTACAGGCCCTACTGCTAAGAAAGAACAAGAAATCTATTTTTAATGAATTTGTGGATGATTTATATAAGTAGTGTGGTCAACACGCTTTGCTGGCAATGCACAAGATGTAACATTGGTTGGTACTCTAGAAGGTTTTTCTTCTTTTCCTCCCCACTCATCTATGTCATTTTTAACTAAACACACTGGAATGCCAGAGAAAACAAATTATATAAACAGCACAATGGAATGTCAGAGAGAATTAAATATCAACAACACAATGGAATGTCAGAGAGAAACAAATATCAACAAAACACTGCAATGCTCATCTTGCTGAAGTAAAACAAGTAAAGACAAGTTTGATGAATTTGTGGTGGGCGATTGAAGCTCTATGTGACTCTCGAGACAAGGACACGCCAAGGGACAGCACAAAGTCATGGTCACACCAGGGACAGCACAATGTCTTTGACACACCAGGGACAGCACAATGTCACGGACACACCAGGTGCAGCACAATGTTATGGACACACCAGGTACAGCACAATGTTATGGACACACCAGGTACAGCACAATGTTATGGACACACCAGGTACAGCACAATGTTATGGACACACCAGGTACAGCACAATGTTATGGACACACCAGGTACAGCACAATGTTATGGACACACCAGGTGCAGCACAATGTTATGGACACACCAGGTACAGCACAATGTTATGGACACACCAGGTGCAGCACAATGTCTTTGACACACCAGGTACAGCACAATGTTATGGACACACCAGGTGCAGCACAATGTCTTTGACACACCAGGTACAGCACAATGTTATGGACACACCAGGTGCAGCACAATGTCTTTGACACACCAGGTGCAGCACAATGTCTTTGACACACCAGGTACAGCACAATGTCTTTGACACACCAGGTACAGCACAATGTCTTTGACACACCAGGTGCAGCACAATGTCTTTGACACACCAGGTACAGCACAATGTCTTTGACACACCAGGTGCAGCACAATGTCTTTGACACACCAGGTACAGCACAATGTCTTTGACACACCAGGTACAGCACAATGTCTTTGACACACCAGGTACAGCACAATGTCTTTGACACACCAGGTACAGCACAATGTCTTTGACACACCAGGTACAGCACAATGTCTTTNACCAAGCTAGAAGCGCCAATTGCAGACTAAGGACTTAACTCTTGTTTGATTTTGTGACCAAGCTAGAAGCGCCAATTGCAGACTAAGGACTTAACTCTTGTTTGATTTTGTGACCAAGCTAGAAGCGCCAATTGCAGACTAAGGACTTAACTCTTGTTTGATTTTGTGACCAAGCTAGAAGCGCCAATTGCAGACTAAGGACTTAACTCTTGTTTGATTTTGTGACCAAGCTAGAAGCGCCAATTGCAGACTAAGGACTTAACTCTTGTTTGATTTTGTGACCAAGCTAGAAGCGCCAATTGCAGACTAAGGACTTAACTCTTGTTTGATTTTGTGACCAAGCTAGAAGCGCCAATTGCAGACTAAGGACTTAACTCTTGTTTGATTTTGTGACCAAGCTAGAAGCGCCAATTGCAGACTAAGGACTTAACTCTTGTTTGATTTTGTGACCAAGCTAGAAGCGCCAATTGCAGACTAAGGACTTAACTCTTGTTTGATTTTGTGACCAAGCTAGAAGCGCCAATTGCAGACTAAGGACTTAACTCTTGTTTGATTTTGTGACCAAGCTAGAAGCGCCAATTGCAGACTAAGGACTTAACTCTTGTTTGATTTTGTGACCAAGCTAGAAGCGCCAATTGCAGACTAAGGACTTAACTCTTGTTTGATTTTGTGACCAAGCTAGAAGCGCCAATTGCAGACTAAGGACTTAACTCTTGTTTGATTTTGTGACCAAGCTAGAAGCGCCAATTGCAGACTAAGGACTTAACTCTTGTTTGATTTTGTGACCAAGCTAGAAGCGCCAATTGCAGACTAAGGACTTAACTCTTGTTTGATTTTGTGACCAAGCTAGAAGCGCCAATTGCAGACTAAGGACTTAACTCTTGTTTGATTTTGTGACCAAGCTAGAAGCGCCAATTGCAGACTAAGGACTTAACTCTTGTTTGATTTTGTGACCAAGCTAGAAGCGCCAATTGCAGACTAAGGACTTAACTCTTGTTTGATTTTGTGACCAAGCTAGAAGCGCCAATTGCAGACTAAGGACTTAACTCTTGTTTGATTTTGTGACCAAGCTAGAAGCGCCAATTGCAGACTAAGGACTTAACTCTTGTTTGATTTTGTGACCAAGCTAGAAGCGCCAATTGCAGACTAAGGACTTAACTCTTGTTTGATTTTGTGACCAAGCTAGAAGCGCCAATTGCAGACTAAGGACTTAACTCTTGTTTGATTTTGTGACCAAGCTAGAAGCGCCAATTGCAGACTAAGGACTTAACTCTTGTTTGATTTTGTGACCAAGCTAGAAGCGCCAATTGCAGACTAAGGACTTAACTCTTGTTTGATTTTGTGACCAAGCTAGAAGCGCCAATTGCAGACTAAGGACTTAACTCTTGTTTGATTTTGTGACCAAGCTAGAAGCGCCAATTGCAGACTAAGGACTTAACTCTTGTTTGATTTTGTGACCAAGCTAGAAGCGCCAATTGCAGACTAAGGACTTAACTCTTGTTTGATTTTGTGACCAAGCTAGAAGCGCCAATTGCAGACTAAGGACTTAACTCTTGTTTGATTTTGTGACCAAGCTAGAAGCGCCAATTGCAGACTAAGGACTTAACTCTTGTTTGATTTTGTGACCAAGCTAGAAGCGCCAATTGCAGACTAAGGACTTAACTCTTGTTTGATTTTGTGACCAAGCTAGAAGCGCCAATTGCAGACTAAGGACTTAACTCTTGTTTGATTTTGTGACCAAGCTAGAAGCGCCAATTGCAGACTAAGGACTTAACTCTTGTTTGATTTTGTGACCAAGCTAGAAGCGCCAATTGCAGACTAAGGACTTAACTCTTGTTTGATTTTGTGACCAAGCTAGAAGCGCTAATTTTGCAGAAGACACAGAAAAATAGTAGACCATGCAACTGAATAAGCACTTATTTAAAATCAGACCAACATGGAACTTCAGACACTTAATTTTCTGAACTCATTTGTATTTCTTTGTTGTTCTCTTGTTTTCTCTTGTCTGCTGAATAAGGCCTTCAGCCAAAACATTCTCTTTCATCTCCAACTTCACCGTACCTTGTTACACTATTTCCTTAATGAATTTCAGTAGAGAGAAGACACATTTCCAAGAGGAAAATGTCAGAGGAGAAATGGATTGACACCAGACTCACTCTGCAGGAAGAAAACAAACGAGCCATGATTGAGTGTAACGACCTTAGCTCCAGATCAGATCGAGAGCCACCAACGAAGTAGGATACGGTATATGTTTAAATCTGTTCAAGATACGAGTCAACTATCTGTGACTGAAGAATATGTACTAGTGTTCATCGCCAAATTGACAACTTTCTAGGATAAGTTACGTGAACTGTTATTTAAAACACCATGGCTGAGCGGGCACGGAGCGACAGATGTTAATCCCAAAAGAAGCCGAAAATGTGTAAATATTTAAAATTACTATCTGAATGGAACTTCCTAGAATCTCTCCCCATCCTCTGATAAAGCCTACAATTATTTCCCACGATCTGTGGCATCATGAGAGAGGAATTGTTCGAAACTAAAGCTTTTTTTTTTTTTTTAAATGTTTGCTATCTACCATTTAACAATCCAGGCTTTCCTGTCGTGTGACTTTGTTTATTTAAAAATGATAAGTTGGAGAATGCTGATTTCGATGAAGTGATGCTCAGGTTTGCACCTTTTGGAGTGTGAACTTTGAATTGAAATGTTTCACGTTTCAATAAAAATGTAAGTGGTGCATTTTTAAATCACTTTTACCTTTCAATTCTATGTTCTCATATCTTATTTTTGTTTTGCTCAATGTACACACATACAACTAGAGATTCTGTATGATCTGGTTAAGAATTACTTGACTTGGTGCTGGTCCTGGGTGTGTGTGTGTGTGGGGGGGGGGTTTCCTCGTAGGTGGGGCTGTCACGTCATCAGTTTACCGCACCGGATGACCCAAACCCTAGTTGCGCCTCTTCTTATAACACATCTTCAAATGAACATATTTTTTTTTTAAACTTACAAAACCACTTCCTCCATTATCTGGTGGGATGGCCAATGCTTACATGAAAAACTCATTGATGACTACAATATTGTAGGTGCCGTCAACGTCTTGTCTCTTTAATGTCTGAAGTATTCTGAGCTCCTCCCTGGATTGTTTCAAGTAGATTCTCTCGTTTCTAACTAACTTTAGAGCGACATACTTGCGAAGCTTGTGGTCGTACGCTTTAATTACCTGAAGACAAAATTTGAACGTGGAAATGAACATTTCGGCCCTGTGGTGATGGTATTATTTTATAGATCACACGGTCCTCCCCAGTGCCATTCTTACAATCTGATGGTATTATTTTATAGATCACGTGTTCCTCCCCAGTGCCATTCTTACAATCTGATGGTATTATTTTATAGATCACGTGTTCCTCCCCAGTGCCATTCTTACAATCTGATGGTATTATTTTATAGATCACGTGTTCCTCCCCAGTGCCATTCTTACAATCTGATGGCATTATTTTATAGATCACGTGTTCCTCCCCAGTGCCATTCTTACAATCTGATGGCATTATTTTATAGATCACACGGTCCTCCCCAGTGCCATTCTTACAATCTGATGGCATTATTTTATAGATCACGTGTTCCTCCCCAGTGCCATTCTTACAATCTGATGGCATTATTTTATAGATCACACGGTCCTCCCCAGTGCCATTCTTACAATCTGATGGCATTATTTTATAGATCACGTGTTCCTCCCCAGTGCCATTCTTACAATCTGATGGCATTATTTTATAGATCACACGGTCCTCCCCAGTGCCATTCTTACAATCTGATGGTATTATTTTATAGATCACGTGTTCCTTCCCAGTGCCATTCTTACAATCTGGGCGAAAAATTAATTAGAATTTTAAAAAAAAATCTGGATTTTAGTGTTGAAATTTCTCCTATAACCATAATCCAAGTACATAGCTGCCTCTCCCCACCCCCCCCCCACCCCCCAAACCTCTAGACCAAGCACTGTACGGGAATCTAGGTGGTCCCTCCTCCAAGTAAAGCACAGTGAATGCTATTCTTTCCCAAACTCATATCAGTGCAGCCTCTTTACGCGACTACTTGCCATTCTGGGGGGAACCGTCATATATAAGCTGTATTCCATTCTTGGTGGCCTCCCCCCGCAATACCAAAATATTACTGGTCACATATAAGCGGTATGCCATTATTGATGGTCCCCTACCAAAAACTACTTGTAACTCTGGGCACCCCCCTCCCTCCCAACCAAACCCCAAAAATACATGTCATTCTGGGTGGCCTCCTCTTTTAAACACACTACAAGACATTATGTGGCCGGCCCCCACCCCATTGCCCACCCCCATGTCATTTTTAGAAAATCAAACCTGTCCAAAAGTTCCTTTGCCCAGAGTCGGCTTTTCGCACACCTCATAACGATAAGCAATGTGATCACGTGGTATGACCTTGTAGAAATGGTCTTCGTCATCATACACGTCAGGATCTCTACTGGAATTTTGACCGCCATTCAGCTTGGAGGCATTCAGCCCGAGACAGTAGATGGCAGTATAATCTTTGATCTCCATATGCTCGAAGCCTGTCAGTTTTTGTCTGAAATCAAGCAAAGTGCCCTCAACATTGCTGCAACAAATTGATCAACAACAATACATTTTGCCTCATAAATTTGAAGTGCCCTATTTTATATTTGTCGGCTCCTGGAAGGCAGCGTGATGAATATGTTTGGACAAATCTTATTGATCTGAAACACATGTAAACAATGTATCGTCTAGTTCAGCGCACTCACCAGATCTGTGCGACCGGAGCAAAAAAACCAAAACAAATTTAGAGCGTATGTACCGTTAAATACATTAAACTTTTAACATATTCGCTATCCCTGTTAATTACTATTATGGATTGATTGATTGAAAGTTTATGCCAATTATACAACACCGGCGATTTATAGGTTAATAATTGTTTTCTTTCATTGTTTCACAAAACTCTGTACAACTCATAATATTGAATATAAACAAGTTATTGGCCTTTATTAACGCGTCAGAAGATAGATGGAGAGTTGCCTCCCACGCGCAAGCAATTTGACCAATGCTCTGCATGAGCGCGAGGTGATGTTCCCGAAGCTAATGACCGAAAGACACAGAGCATGGGCGTATTTTTACCGGGGAGAAAAAAAAAGTTGGTGGCTGTGAAGAAAGTGGATAGGAGGGTTGCAGAAAAAAACAAAAACAAAAAAAAACAGATGTAGGGGTGTGGTGAAGTTGATGAATTTGTAGTTCTATGCAATTTGTGAACCTACGTAAAGCTATATAGCATGCGTTCGGTACTTAAGTTATTATTTTGTATCTAGAATAATATCAATTTGTTTTGCATTTGTTTGACCCAGGACGCATTACTTTTAGCATAAGTCCTCAGTTTTGTTCCTCTCCCTAACAAATAAAGAGTTAATAAGTATATGGTTATATACAGTGGCGTAGAGCGTAAGGTCAGTGGCGTATCGCGTAAGATCAGTCAAGTATAGCGTAAGATCAGTGAAGTATAGCGTAAGATCAGTGAAGTAGAGCGTAAGATCAGTGACGTAGAGCGTAAGATCAGTCAAGTAGAGCGTAAGATCAGTGAAGTATAGCGTAAGATCAGTGAAGTAGAGCGTAAGATCAGTGACGTAGAGCGTAAGATCAGTCAAGTAGAGCGTAAGATCAGTGAAGTAGAGCATAAGATCAGTGACGTAGAGCGTAAGATCAGTCAAGTAGAGTGTAAGATCAGTGAAGTATAGCGTAAGATCAGTGAAGTAGAGCGTAAAGTTAGTGGCGTAGAGCGTAAGATCAGTGAAGTATAGCGTAAGATCAGTGAAGTAGAGCGTAAAGTCAGTGGCGTATAGCGTAATTTCAGTGGCGTATAGCGTAAGGACAGTGGCGTAGAGCGTAAGGTCAGTGGGTTGCAACTTGCAAGAGGCCGGTAGGATGAAAGCTAAACATCCCTTCAACATGTTACATTAGCGTGACCTGAGTATGTTCTGCCAGTCCAGCGTTTTCAAAATAAAAAGTTTTTTGTACTCCTAGTAACTCTTTAATGCTTGTAGGTGTATACATACATATATATACAGTGTCGTAGAAAAGGGGGAGGCCCGTCCCTGGCGGCACATTTTTGTCTGCTTAGAAAAAAAATAATTTTTTTAGGCCATCAGTGTGTCCATTGGTTCTCGCCATTTATACCATAATGTGTGCTGTGTAAGGGCCCACAATTCTCGTCAGTCATGTCACATGTCATAAAGTGTTGTCGTAATTAGAAGGTGTGCCGCACAAGGTCCCTTAGTTCTCGTCAGTCATGTCACTTTTCAAAAGGTGTGCCGTACAAGGGCCCTTAGTTCTCGTCAGTCATGTCACTTTTCAAAAGGTGTGCCGTACAAGGGCCCTTAGTTCTCGTCAGTCATGTCACTTTTCAAAAGGTGTGCCGTACAAGGGCTCTTAGTTCTCGTCAGTCATGTCACTTTTCAAAAGGTGTGCCGTACAAGGGCTCTTAGTTCTCGTCAGTCATGTCACTTTTCAAAAGGTGTGCCGCACAAGGGTCCTTAGTTCTCGTCAGTCATATCACATGTCAGAAGGTGTGCCGTAATAAGACGATGTGCCGTATAAGGTCCCCTAGTTCTCGTCATTCATGTCAATTGTCAGAAGGTGTGCCGTATAAGGTCCCCTAGTGTTCGTCATTCATGTCAATTGTCAGAAGGTGTGCCGTATTAGGACGCTTAGTTCTCGACAGTTATGTTACTTGCCATAATGTGTGCCGCATAAGGTCCCTTATTTCTCGTTCGCCATATCACTTGTCACAAGGTGTGTCTCATTAATGCTCTTAGTTCTCAGCAGTCATGTCACATGTCAGAAGGTGTGTCGCATTAGGTCAGAAAAAGGTTAGAAAACGAAGAGGAACAAATAGTCAAAATGGTCAAAGTACTTTCATAAGTGTGTGTTTTCACCTTATTTAAATTATGATAAAATGATAACCAACTTTTAACAAGACCATGCTAATCATTTTTATGTAGAAAAAAAATCTGATCTTAGTCGTAAATTATCAAGACTTCATCATCATCAACTTGTTATTTCTGACTCACCCATACAATGATAACGAATCACCCAAACTATGATATCGACTCACCCATACAATGATAACGAATCACCCAAACTATGTTATCGACTCACCCATACAATGATAACGAATCACCCAAACTATGATATCGACTCACCCATACAATGATAACGAATCACCCAAACTATGATATCGACTCACCCATACAATGATATCGCGGTTGCTGGAAGCATCTTGTTTTGATTGGCAGTTGTCGATCCTTGTCTCTTGATGGATTGCTTTCTTGACTTGACCATGTCTACAGACCTAGAGGCAGTCGCTCTGACCGAATCACTGGACGCGACGCTAATTGAGCCTGATGCCACAGAGAGGACTGAGATTGGCAGGCGCCTGAGATCTTTCTTGAACAACCACAAGACACAAATGCAAGATTCAGTTGTTTTTGATTGTTCATTGGAAAAGCAAAACCCAATGAGGTGTTCACAAAATGGTGATTTAATCTAGGATTGTTACTAATTTCGTTAATGAGATTAATTTTAAAATGAAATGAAACTTTCATTTTTTGGATAAGTAAAGATGGTTGTAAAAGAATGCCTCACAAGGTATAATGAAATAAAAATTATAATTTTTAAAAAAAAATGTCAGTAGACAGATATTCATATCTGTTGTCGTCTGTCAAGTGTTCCCTTACCATGTGTTCGTTATTTCCATAATTCCTTCCTACGAAGACAAACTCATCCCAGAAATAACTATTCATGCATGGACAAAGCACAAAGGACATTCATTGAACATGTCACTTAAGTTCAAAAAGACTTTTATTGGTGGGCAACAAAATTCAAACAGACATAAATTGTTAGTGTACAAATTAAACCCAGAAAGACATTCCTTGCGGGAAAGCAGCGCTGAATTTTCAGAAACTGCACAGGGTCCCTTCCAAAATTAAAGCATAAATTAAATCAAATTAAATAAAAGTGTTTTTAAATTATTATTTTTTTAAATTACGTAAAATGAAATAGCAAGGAAGAAATTGAGAGTTTGAAAGAGATAATACCTGAGTTGAGAGTTCAATTGCAATAAAAAAAAATCAGTTAAAATCTTCCTATGATAGAAATTGGGGGGGGGGGGCGCTAATACTTAATACTTTTTTTGTTTACTTGTTACGTTGATATACCATCAGGCAGTTAGTTGAGTTACGGACAAAGAGGAGACCCTGTCAACATTAAATTACTTACACTCAAGACCCCAGACTTGACCTTTCCAGGTTTGACGGACGGGGCTTTGGTCAAGCTGGGATTACTGGGCAGCTCCTCAAACATTTGCTGTATTACTACGCTCCTTTTCTCCATCGCGGCTGATAACTTAGTGCGTGCAGAGAGGTGTTACTTCCAGGGATGGTTACTGAAGTGCTTGAAACATGGCCGTGCAAGGGTTAAACGGTTGGTTAAGTCATGGCGCCAGGATCTTTGTCGTTGATCGGCAGGTCACGTCTCAGCTACTAAAAGAATTGGGAACACGAAACGGCAGTGCTGTTTAGAGATGCAACAGCCATGGGTGTCATGGATTCTCTCTACGCGCACCACACGTCAACATCAGTAACATACCAACAACCATCTCTAGCGTACGACTGACTAATGGTACTTGCACAATTTATTATAACGGTGCACACAATATAGACTTATTTTGATCTAACTAGACGTCGATATATTATGATCTAATGCAGTTGCTAACAAAATAAGATGCCCAGACAACGTTGTTTTCAATAGTTTTAATGTCGTAGAAAGTCGTTTATTTGTAATCTGCAAACTTGCCTGATAAAAATAGATCTATAGCAACTTATCCTACAATATTATATCTGAGTGTATAGCAAGGTATTTTATAAATCTATCTTGAAAATGCATAGGGGATGTTAAAAAAAACAACAACATTATAAAGGCTTACTAAAAAATTTTTTTTGAAAAATCACCATATTTTATCATTTGATCTGCCGACAAGTGTGAAGAATTATTCAGCTATTGTTGAAATTGTAATTGTTTGTTCTCAATATTTTTTATTTAATAGTTTTTAACTGTAAATATTTGCATTATATATATTCATAGGGAATTCCAAATTGAATCCCAAGTTATTAAAAGGCTGTCCCATTATAAAAAGGGGAAAAAGAGCGACTATGGGTATGAATCGCCCACTCAGCCCGCCTTTCTACGCCACTAGCACTGCCCATCCGAACATCTGATTTGCCCCCTCTGCCTCTGCCCGAAATAAACTGTCTGAAAAAAAAAACAGTGCACGCCAATACATCCTTGACCAATGTCCATGGAGGAGGAGTGGTTGGCTGCCACCACTCGGGGGAAGGGGGATAAACGCCCCTGATTTGGTCTATTTTATAAACCCCAAAAATGCCACCCTTGGTTATCACCCCTTCGTACCACTAGATGTGCTACTATGGAGGCACTAAGTCCGAACCCCTAAGGGTCTCTACTCTAGCAGCACAACAACCCAGTCTAAATTAAATGAAAAATGTTGCATTGAAATTTTAATACAGGCGAGATTTCTTTTTTATACTGGTTACTGGAGCTTGGAGTTCTTTTAACACCAGCTGAACCTCTGACCCCACTACCCAACTAAAAAATAACTTAAAATATTTATAGTTTAACATTCAAATCACAGCATGCTAATTCGGAGAGGAAAAAAAAATAATTTTATAAACTAACATTTAAGCTTCCAAGTCAAAATAGCTGACTCTACACATGTAAGTGGTTAAGTCAAAGATTCAATTCAACTATTTTTTTTTTTTAAATTGGAATTTTAATTTGAGCCGGGCGTTGGCAGATACCCGGAAATTCTGAGCATCAGCATACTCCGCCCATGCCAGGACCTAGAAAAAACAACAAAAAACCTAACCTGTATCCCGTGTTAAAAAAAAAAAAAAAAAAGAGTTATCTTCTCATTTTCTTCAAGTGTATGTAAGAGCCAGTACATTTTTAAAAACATAATTAAATAAATGATGATAGAAAACTGACTAGCGATTAGTGCAAGCAGAGCCGTTCTTAGGATTTTGGGGGGCCCTAGGCTTGGAGTCTAGGTAGGGGGCCCCGGAAAGGAGGTCCAGGGGTTGGGGGCGGAGCTCCCCCGGAGCTCAGGAGAAAACAGAAGTGTGAAGTGGCAAAGTAGCCCTCAGACGATAGATTTACATTCCACGACCTCCTTTCATCGACGCCGTCTTCCCGATCAGCGCCAGCCCCCTGGGGCCCAAGCCCCCTGGGGCCCCACCCACCAATGCGGCACCCCCATTCCGCCTTCGCCACTGTTTCCTGTTTGCTCGCGTGTAACCACTCACCATATTGATGATTCGGCCATTAGAGAAAATGTGTACTCCTGAATTATATGGACTTGCAAGTTGTAGGCTTAAAAAAAAAAAAAGCGCCTAGTTTGCCTATGCCTAAGAACGGGTCTGGTGCGAAAGCAAGTGTAAGCTAAATGAAACCGCAAAGCTCTGACATAATTCATGTAGGCAGTGGCGTAGCTAGGGTTGGTGTCACCCGGTGCGGTCCGCACCCCCCTCGCTACGCCACTACATGTAGGCCTACTTGCTTCGACTCGAATTTTGTGAAATTATTTGTCTTAACAAGATTCATATCTTTTGTAAAGACCGTGACACTTTCTATTTAGAATTTATATTTTGATTTCACATGTTGACAGGCTGATGACACTGAGAAACCAAATGTGTGTGTTTGTGTGTCTGTGGTGTGTGTGTGTGTGGTGTGTGTGCGTGTGTATGTATGTATGTAAGTTATGTCACAGACTTCAATGCTAGTTATGTACTTTAACACTCATATAATAAGTAATGCGATGGGCTTAACTGAAGTCAGGCTGAAATGGTAGCGCCATGATGCAATATATATATTTCAGCAACTGCCACCAACCATCGGCCAGCAGCCAGCAAGTGCCACCATCCAGCAAACACCACTAATAAGTGACCAGAAACTGCCATCAGCCAGCGACCAGCAGATGCCATCAGCCAGTGACCAGCAACTGTCACCAGCCAGTGACCAGCAACTGCCACCAGCCAGTGACCAGCAAGTGCCACAAACCAGGTACAAGCAACTTCCACCAGTCAGTGACAAGCAACTGCCACTAGCCAGTGACCAGCAACTGCCAACAGCCAGTGACCAGCAACTGCCAACAGCCAGTGACCAGCAAATGCCAACAGCCAGTGACCAGCAAGTGCCACCAGCCAGTGACCAGCAACTGCCACTAGCCAGTGACCGGCAACTGCCACAAGCCATCGGCCAGCAGCCAGCAAGTGCCACCATCCAGCAAACACCACTAATAAGTGACCAGAAACTGCCATCAGCCAGCGACCAGCAGATGCCATCAGCCAGTGACCAGCAACTGTCACCAGCCAGTGACCAGCAACTGCCACCAGCCAGTGACCAGCAA